TCTCTATCACTCTCTCTTAAAAAAAAAAAAAAAAAACATACAGAGGCTGAGGATGTAGCTCAGCACTTGCCTGGCATTTGTGAATCCCCAGTACAAAAAAAAAAAGTCCATGTGAATGAAACCCAGGTAGTCACAAATTTTGTAATACCTTAAACTAGATGAATAAAAGATCCTTATTTACAGTACATTAACCTTAAGGTATCATATTCCAGCTCTATTTTACTTATTTATTTTTATGTGGTGCTGAGGATCGAACCCAGGGCCTCACACGTGGGAGGCAAGCACTCTACCATTGAGCCACAACCTCTGCCCTCATATACCAGCTCTAAAACTCCATCTGTCTAATGATTATTTTATGTCTTTAGTAAATTGTCAGTTTTTCCCTGAGTATCTTTAAAGCACATATTTCCCTTCATGGAACTCTACATTAAGTTGTTGTCTTTGAAGGAACTGTGAAATATCCCTCTACCAATGAGGCACACCAAATTTAGAATTTAAATTTCAAGGCCAGATAAACAAAGCAGAAGCCTAATGGTGTGTGAAGAGAACACAATAATCATCACTCCATTCCTTTTTTTTCCACTTAGAATCATAAAAGAAAAAAGACAGAATATGAATACTCATTTAACTTCCTACCCAACCAACAATCCTTTCTACAGAATCACTGACAGATTTCTCAACCTCCACCTGAATATTTAATTATTTTATACTCAAATTACTTTTTTTTAAAGTAAATCTTTTGTATTTTTAGGCAGAGGACTGAACATAACAAGACTTGAAGAGCTATCTAGGTAGGAGCTTATGGAGAAAAATATTAGATTTTTTTTCTTCCAATTTCTCAAGTAGTAAAATAATGCTCAAAATCTCAACCTACTTTAAAAATAATAAGAACACCAACATCATTTCCAAATTCCAAGTCAATGAAATACAATTGTTCCAAGTCAATGAATCTCTCTGACTTCCATAGTAACAGAATCACTGTGAAGGTGTAAGAGTTGTGTTTGACTCCAAGGTGCCTTTGCCAGAACAACCCATTCCCCCAAGGACCTACAATAGGCCCAGACAGATCAGTGGCAATCTGGAGCAGGTAGTCTTTGCTTATTTAAATTCCCTAAATGTCAAGGACCCTTCCACAGTCAGTAATCCTCCCTATGGAGCAAACATATCATTAATGGGAAGCATGGTATTTATTATGCCATGGATGGTAAAGGATATGCAATCACTTTTTTGTAGACAGAATTAATGGGAGGGTCCCTGACTGAACAGGAAAAAAAAAAAAAAGTTAAGATAATTTTATAAGGAGAGTAATGTGATAATTTTACTCAAAAGCATTCAATTATTAAATACTTTGTTTTCTCCAATTCAGAGTTTTCTAATATATACTTATTAAATAATAATATACAATAATACATATTTTTACAATATATATTTATTAAAGAAATTATACTACTTGTAACAATTTGAATACTATTTCGAAAGTCAGACTAATAGGAAACCTTTGAAAATCTAAAACCCATGGGCAAAACATCCTAATTTGTAATCATTCACGTGGAGAATCCATGTCGCTACTCAAATAAGCTATTTCTAAGTTCCCAAACTGATGAGCTCATAAATTTTAAAAACAATACACTATAACAACTACAAGCTTCCTGGGAAAGACTGTTACTTCTGTTTGTATTGAAAGTCTTATTACAAATGGGCTTTTCCAGGTGCTTCTCATTCCTTGTCTCCAACCCCAAACAAGGTTTAAAAAAAAAAAAATACAAATGAGTGTGGTCCATCCTACATTAGTCATTAAAAGTCTTTCCTCTTGTAAATACTTCATTGTAAAATAACAAAGAGTTCGCCAAGAGTACCTTTACATCCTACAATGCGCAAAAAAAAAAAATTAATAAAAATATGGTACACTAAACCCAAATTCATTTTGGAGAATTCCCTCCAGAGCTCAAATCTAGGTATTATGCAACAGCCTCCATTCCAGATGTTAATCCCAGTCTGTGATGCAGAGATAAAATATCAATGGGGAAGACATAATCCACTAAGTACTTAAGTAATACGTTCACAAGAAAACAACGAACCAAAACAAGAATTACCAAATTCTCAGAAATCTTGACAATGACGAATCGTGTAACAGTTGGGAGCACCACCAAACTTTTCCTCTAGGAGCCCGTTCAGCACTTCCCAACCCCCTCAAACATCCACAAGAAGCGTTTAAATTTGGGCTTCGAAAGGATTTCCCAGAGGAGGAGGGGGCCTGCATCAGGTGGTTATCTTGGAATCTACTGGTAATATACCCAAACCAACTTCCTGAAGCTGAAATGATGAAATGTCTCATCATTTCTCCCCAAGGACAATACTGGGATCAAATCTAATCTAGACCCCTGGGCCATAAACCATCCAGGGCTCAAGGTTTCATCCTTCCATTTCCAGAGGCACAGGCCTCTGCAAAAACTGCATAACGGACCGGACCGCTGAGAACGAAATTAGTACAAGATTGCAGTGACCCGAATTCCAGAGGGGGCAGATTCCACACAATACCTCGGTAGGGCAGAGTAGTTAAAGGTAAGGGGGTGGTCAGAGCATCCTGGGAGGCCACCTGCGCGGCAGACCCCGAGCCCACACGCCTAAGCTCCGCACCTCACCAGCTCTGCGTTCCACCGGCCCAGGCAGTCAGCGAAAACGCACGGGCTCCAGGTGGGAAGCGTAGGAGGGGAGGGGGCTCCGCCAGCAGCAGCTGCGACACGGAATGCGACCGCCGCCGAGCGAAGGCAGGCGAGGGGGGCATTCCCTCACACAAAATGGTGGCGCCGACGCGGACGCCG